GGGCAGGGTAGTCATCCCTAACAAATCTGAGCTCGCTCGTTTACTTAAGGAATACCACGATTCACCATTAGGGGGTCATGCTGGAGATTTGAAAACGCATTAACCACTGGTACTGGTTAGGCGTGAGGAAAGACGTGGCACATTATGTCAAGCAATGTCATGTATGTCAGCACAATAAGGCTTCAACTCTCTCTCCCTTGGGGTTGCTTCAGCTCTTGCCTATTCCGGATAAGGTGTGGGAAGACATATCCTTGGATTTCGCTGAAGGATTACCCAAGTTCGGGGGGTGGGATTCGATTTTAGTGGTGGTTGACCGCCTCACAAAGTATGGATACTTCATTCCCTTAAAACATCCTTACATAGCTTAGGGTTTTTCTCAATGCTTCATGAAAGAGATAGTGTGGCTCCATGGTATACCTTCATCCATAGTTTTGGACCGAGACAGTTTTTCTCGGTGTATTTTGGTCCTAATTGTTTACACTCCGGGGCATACACTTGCGAAGAAGCACGGTACTCAACAAGGGAGTGGAATCATACCTTCGTTGCTTTGTGAATGGGAAGCCTAAGAGTTTACATCGTGGTTGCCATGGGCTGAATATTAGTACAATACGACATTCCACACTGCCACAAATTGTACACCCGTATGGCAGTGACCCCGCTTTATTTAGTGCGGTTCATTCCTGGAAGCAGAACTGTGTCTGCCTTAGAAGATCAATTGTTGGAGAGAGATGCCATCTTGGATGAATTAAATTTCACTTGGTTCAAGCTCAATGTTATATGAAGCAGTATGAGGATAAGAGTAGAAGAGATGGACAATTTCAGGTAGGGGAGTTACCCTCAGGCAACAGCCGGCAAGGAGAAAGAATGAGAAGCTATCTTCAAGGTTTTATGGGCCCTACTCAGTGTTGAAAAGGATTGGGAAGGTGGCTTACAGGCTGCGGTTACCTCCTGTATTCCACATCTGCTAGCTCAAAAAAGCCGTAGGAACAAGACACCATCCCACGCAGCTTCCTACTCAGCTCACTTCAGATTTAGTGCTTGAAGTTGAACAAGAGTAAGTGCTAGCAAGCCTGATCAAATGGAAAGGGCCGTAAGAATTCGAGTCCACTTGAAAGCATTTTAATGAGATAAATTGCAGGTTTCCCTCTTTCCACCTTGAGGACAAGGTGCAAGTTTGGGAAGGGGGTCAACTTTTGCATGAGTCATTGCCCTTATAGCATGTTTGACAATTGCTAAGCTCCACATGAGCAAATGTTACTGTTTAGGCTAAGAGGGAATTGTGATTTACCCTTATATTCCCTGGGCTTGACTTGGAAAGCTCTATAGGTATAGGTTGTAGTGGCTATGCTGATCTCTCTGACCACTCTTGCTATCTTTGGCAGAGTTCATCATCATTCAAGGCCATTGTAGCCTCATGCCTTGAAGCTATCCTGACCATGCACACTCTCCTTATACCTATCATAACATAACAATCAAATTAGTAATGTAATCATTCAAAAATAGTGTGAAATGCAAGTTAGCTTGATCATTACCTTTTAGTAAAGTCAATACTAGCTTGCATTTGTCACCTCCAAGTTTGAGTCATTGCACACATTGGATCAAATTTGTGCTTACTCCACTTAGATTGATAGCCTAAATCTGCAAACCATTTCATGACATCCTCCCCACTTTCCTTTTTAAGTCTATCAATTGACTTTCTGAATGTGAATTTGTTAGTTAGCATTGCAAGCTCTCTAGACAAAGATGTGTACATTAGTGGACGTGGGAAAACTTTCTTGTAATTTCTACCCAAGTGTCTACAACAGTACCTTCTCTTAGCTTCCGACCTTCTCTTAACTTCCGGCCAAACAATTTTCAATGCAACATCAACACCCTACAACAATCACATTTATCAATGTATGCCATGGAGATGCAATTAAATATAGCAATCCAGAAATGAAAAAAAGGAAATATATATACACCAGTCTTTCCTCCTTGAATCTTTGACTATGTTGTGGATGTGCTAGAAAAAATAACTCCCACTGCCTTTGTGTTCAGCTGACAATTGCATATGCAACCGGGTGTATCTCATTGTTACCATCCAAGGCAATGACATATAGTAAAATTCCACCATAATTGCCCTTTAAATGAGCACCATCAACTCCAACCAATGGCCTATTGTTAGAAAGCCTTGCCATTGTCCAACAAATGAGATGAATATGAATATGCTGCCGAACAAGTTAACCCTTGGAATGCTTTTCTTGCCATGCCACAAAAGCCTTAGAACCTGATGCTCGTTATAACTTTAGTTTATCTAGGTAAATGGTTGTATGGCTCATCATGTCCTCCAAATAATTCATGAACAACATATCTCTTCCACCTATACTAGTTGGCTTGCTTCAAAGTAAATGCCAAACCTCTTAAATAGTAGTTAAGGGCCTTTCCTGAAATGTTTGGATTTGCCCTTATGTCTTCCATTACCTTTGGAGCAGCCCATTTAACTGTACAAATTGGGTTATGCATTTCTAACTCCTTGCAGTTATGCACATTTAGCCAAATCTTTTTATAGCCCAAGTCTTATCATTTTGCAGCCTACTAGCATGCATCCTCCACTCACAGCATTGTGCCAACACCACAACAACTGCAAAGCCTTCCTGTACTTGCATAATCTTCACGGTCTCTCTCAAATGGGCCTTGTCAATAAATATCATCCATGGTCTAAGCACTATCTTCCCAAATTTGATTTCTTCATACATCTCCTTATGCTTATAAAGCTTATCCATATAATTATCATCATAAGAATCATTAATGAAAGCTGACCAAAAGGTAGGTTTCCAATTGTCTTCTATGTGGGGAACAATGCTTAAATCATGCAACTCATCCTCAGATACATCACTATCATCACTATCATCACTATCAGGGATTACTTCTCTATCTAAAATCCCCATCAGAAGAATCATCACCAATAGAAGAATCATCACTAGAACCATCAGGATCACCACCAGCACCACCCAAACCATATATAACCCTCCTTCTAGCACTAGGTGCACTATTCTCCCCTAGCTTTATGAGTTCCCTTTTTGACCACTCCATATACCCTTCCTAATTTGAGTACTCTTAGGAATTTTTCTAGCAAATAGGTTAGGGTCAATAATAATATATGATGGTTGGTTGTTTGGACTTGATCTGGGAAGGGGAGTGGTGTGAAAACCTAGGACTTCTTCTCACAAGTAGTGTTTTGAAGACAGTGTGTGGTGAAATTGGAGGTAACTTCTCACTCCCAGACCCAACCGACCCCAATTGTTTGGACTTGCCCTTACCCTTACCCTTCCCACCACCAGAACCAGCCTTGCCCTTACCCTTCCCTAACCCTTCCTACCTCCACAACCAGCCTTTCCCTTATCCCGAGCCTTTTCACTGTATTTCTCAAACTCCTTCGTACCCTTAGTGTATTCTTTGCTAGATTGCTGACCATGATTCTCTTCAAACTCATCTTGTATATCAGCAAAGGTAGTTTTGGGTCATGATTAAATTCAGTCCCAAAAATCTCATGTAATGGAGGTCTACTAGGATTAACCACACTAGCAGTGGCAGTAGCATAATCAGAGTATTTCAATCTCAATCTCAATCTCCTCCTAGTCTTTAGTTTGGTGTTCTCATTCCCTTTCTTAGAAGGAGTGGTATTTTCCAACAGATGGCTATTAATTCTCACTCACAATTAATGGTAGGTATGGTTGGTTTAGGGGTGGTGATTCTGGTTCTTCATGTACACCTTGGCTAGCTAGTTCAGTAGCTAATTTGTTCCTCCTAAACTCAGATACTATATCATTCATAAAGGTTGAATTTAAAGAAATCCCAACCAAAATCTCATACATCTTAGCATCAGGGAATGTCCTAAACATCCTATACAGATCACCATCATCATCTATTGGCCAATGTTTGCCTCTATATGCATAAGCAAATATAGGGTTTTAAATCAGTACTCCCTTTTTTAGTAAAATATCTTCAAATTTCGTCATTAAGTCCATTTAGTTGCAAGTATCACAGTCCGAATCAATATCAACATTATGTTGCTTATATTTAAATCTCAGTGTAACCTTGTCATCCATTCTGCAAAGTAAATTAAACTACCATGATTTAACAACAACAGTAATCACAAACTCAATAATACATATTTAAACCTAGATTAAGCATACAATCACTAACACTATAGCATGCAAACCCAAATTCAGCAATTTTCAATAAAGTAAGTCAGAGAGTACAAAATTAAGCAAGCATACATATTCAGTCGAACATAAATCAAGGCTAAATTAACCAACATTAGAGCATAATTCAACCAGTCAACATAATTCAACCACTCACAAGAAAGTACAAACTTCATCTAAAGCCTAGCAATGTAATGCGAAAAATTCAAAAATTACAACAAAAAATAATCGCTAACCTTTTACAATCCACAAAGCAGGCCGGTCTGAGGCTACCAGAATTTTGCTTCAGAAGCGTGAGAATTAGGGTTTGATACAGAATAAGAACAGGGAAAAGAGAGAAGGAGATGAACGATGAAAAATTTGGAGTAAATAATGCTAGTTGGGCTTGGAGGGAGAGTTAATGAGTGAGGGGGCATTTTAGTCAAGTCAAGTCTAAGTAAAATTCCTGTCATTAACCCTAACTAAACGTGTGATTAACGGTTTATTTACTGTAGTAATTAAGTGTACCGCTGATAATGAAAATTGAATGAGGTGTACCAGTGATAATTTCCCTATAATGTAATTGTGGTCACTGAACACGAAGTGTTTAAAGAAGAATCGACCTCATATACCAAGTCTTGTGAAGCTTTTTAATCAATCGGTTTGCCTTTTGTGTGTGTGTGTTTCTGAAAATCTAAGTTATTGATGCATATACAGGATCAAATAGTTATTTCACTTCACATGCGGTTGCTTTTATGTATGCATTTATCTGTCTTTTGCAGTATAATCAAGAAATATCTTTCTTCTTGGTGATTTTGAAACCTTAATGCTATGCAGGTTGTGGATGCTGCTGCTAGATCACTAAAAATAATATACCAGTCAAAGTTAGCCCCCAAGTATGATTTTCTTTCAAAGGAAAACATGTGCTTCCTTATTTCGCTATTAGATAGTGAGAGCGAGAATATTACAGGACTTGGTGCTACTATTATTACGCATTCTTGTCAGATTATAGCAGAGCAGAAAGTGTTGTATGAGGCTGGCATCTTAAAGAAGCTTTTAGACCTTCTGCGAGGTTCCCTTAGCCAGAGAGATGCTAGTTTGGAGGCTCTAGCTGCTGTTAGTAGGAACAATCCTGATGTTAGTTCAGAGTTTGCTGAAGCCAATGATGGAAGAGCTTTTAGGGTTGTATGTGAACTGACGAAGGATAAGTATCCCCGGACAAGGCTTCTGGCCTCCATGTGCTTGATTGCTTTGTGGAACACTTCACCATGTCATCTACAAGATGCTGGGCTCAGATCAAAGCTGATACATATACTGATTGAGCTTCTTGATGATCCTGGTCAAGTTGGAGATGACGCTCCATTCGCTTTGTCCAGTTTGATTGCTGGAAAAGAGGACCTACAAAAACTAGCTTTTGAAGCAGATGTTATTGATAAAATGAGCAAGCACCTAATGAAAGACTCATTACCAGCTAAACGTTTACAAGGGATATTCTTGGCTCTTGCTGATGTATGCTCAAAGTTGGAAGTCTGCAGGGAAAATCTTATATCACTTGAGGTTTGTATCATATATTAGTTTCTCCATGTTTGAAACTTAGTTGTAATGATGTGTCTTTATGTGGATCAGCCAACCAGCTATTTTTTTTTATATATTTATTTATTTGATATTGTATCTTTTTCCAATTCATGTCACTATTGTTTGAGAGGGTTTGGTCACCTTTTTTTAAGCATGGTGTTTGACAATAGTAATACTACCTTAGTTTCAATCTGATCATAACATTTACTATGTGCACACATTTTAAGAAAATTGGTAAGAGTGGGGGGGAAAAGGCGGATAAACTGATAAAGTAAAAAAGAGTGAATGGAAAATGAATATATTGCAGGTAAGAGGGGTGATGTAGTGAAGGAAGATTCTAAATATGAAATAAAGTGATACTGTTAAGAACTTTTAGAAACAAACCAGTAAGGAAAGTGTTAAAGTCATTTGAAAACAGAGTAGAGTTATTAATGTGTTCCTCTTGTTTGTGAGTGTGACCTTATAAACTGTTTATTATATATGAGTAGAATAAACTGAAGATTAGCAATTTCATATGTATTTGCATTCCTCAATCATCAATTTCCTACTTTCATATATAATATACCTCTCTTTTAAATGATCATTAATCATTTCCTATGATCTATACATCTTTTTTCCCATATAATTCAAACTTTCATTTTCCCTTTAATTTTATGAATCTCTAGAAGAGCAGCTGGGGATACTAACTTCCAAGATTTACCTGGAAAATTACTATTGTTTGATTGAGCAATTACTGATATAGGGTGGCATATCTACAAAATGACTCACCAAGTAGGACTTTCATGAATTAATAAGAAAGATTGCAGGGGGTATCACCAAAAGTTTATACTTTATAGTGAAGCAATGAAATTAATTGGTTGAAGCATTTATTTGTACTGTCATTGAGGCATCCCAAAATCTATAGCAGAATAGTCAAATAGTATTGTCAGAGTACTTAAACATGATAAAGTAAAAATGCGGTTAATAAACTGATGATGCATAATTTTTTCCTTGTTGATATAGGTACTCAAGTTGGTAGCTGAGGCATTAAATCATGACTGCTCTGAAGTACGAATTGCAGCTTGCATGTGTTTGCGAAGTGTTTCTCGGTCAGTCAAGGTTTGGACTTTTGATATCTGTAAGAAAGTTTGTATTGCGTTTGTATATTTGCCATCTTCAGTGCATTATCTCATATTGCATTATTTCAGAATTTGAGTGCAGGTATGTTCATGAATGATCTGATTGTGATTCCGTTGATAAAGCTTCTAAATGATGCTTCGACTGCTGTCCAGGTACTGTTCTATCCTTTTTGCAATGTTTTGTGTAATATGCTAAATATCCTGTTCAAACAATGTTACTTAACAACTTTCTTGTATATGACTCTTACATTGGTGTTGATTATGAAGTAATCTTTTTTTTTTTTTTTTTTTTTTTGAAAGAATTATGAAGTAATCTTTATTTCTTAACAAAAATTAGCTTCTTTTGGCCCCTTGACATTGTGGTAGCTGTTCCAGCTAGATGTATGGCTTGTTAAAGATACTAAGTTTAGATTACATGTGGTAGCTTGAGAAATGGGAATGGGATAGGAGTGAATAAGAAATAGTCGATCATGTTTAAATATCTGATAGTAAATTTATTTATTCACACGGTTTTTTAGGGTGATACATTCTCGATAAAGATTGTGGTTTCTAATGTGAAAATATGTGTTTTTTAATCCTTTTTTTTTTCTTTTAAATTGGTATTAGGGTTTAGGGTGACACATGCGCCTGTTGTCTGATTGCCATCTTACAGTAGTCAATAAGGCCACCTTATTATACAATTCCTATTTCCTACCAACGGATCGCAAATGACTTAAATATCGGACATAGTATTGTAAGTGGTAGATTGACTTAAAAACACATGTTTTTCTAGATGAGGGCAGATTTGCACCCTTTGGTGCTAAAAAATGCCAAGTATGGGGATTGGCCAAGGCTCAATGCCTTAGTGTGGGGATGTTAAATGTTGATGCAGCTGCCCATAACCCTTGGGGCCAAGGCACAACACCTTAATCTTAAAAAATACCTATTAAAAATAGTTCCAAGTTCCAACCATTAAAAATAGCCTCTCGACATGTTGTGGGGCCCATGGGAAGTACCTCAGCTTGTTTTCTTTCCGTGTCCACTATACTAAATAATTGTCCAAAACCTAAAGCCTATATACTCAAAATTTGATAATTTTCGGAAATTTTGGGACCGAGCGTTAAAACTACCGGCATTTTAATGGATGCTTCTTAGGGTCATATTACATTGTTTGGAAGTATATTTGACCAGTAGTTGGTCACAGAAAAACATGTAGTGGCCTTAAGTAATTTACGGAGGCGTGTGCGTTAAATTTGAGTGGACACTTCAAAGGCTATATGGATGGTTCCAACCAGGCAACCATGCAAATGGCCTCCCGTAGTTTTAGGGTCCATGGGAAAAGCACCACGACTTGCTTTCTTTTTTGGTTCCCAATAGGTAAAAGAAGTCCAAAACCTTAAATTCTATACATAAAATCGGACCTGTTTTGAAGGTTTCATGACCTGGTGTCTAAAACTCTTGGGGTTTAAGTGGATGCATCCTAATGTCATATAATAATGTTTGCAACTATATATGACCACTAGTCAGTTATATAAAGTCTCGTGTTTGCCTTGAGTTAAGAAGGGAGGCACAAGTTATATGGTTAAATTGGTAGTTTAAAGGCGAAACAGATGGTTCCAACCGCCTAAATGGATTCCCAAGGTGTTGTGGGGTCTATGGGAAGCACCTTAACCCGTTCCTTTCCTAGCCTTGAAGAGTAGCCAACTTTGGAAAAAATATTCCAATATTGAAGTGAATGGGTTGGGTTTCTTCCGGGGTCATGTAAGTTGATTTGGAACCATGATAAACCTACTATAGCATTAATAAATAATGTGGGTATACATATAATCTTCTTAGATGTTTAGGCAGTATCTCTTTGCTTAAGGTTTGAGAAAATGATCTTTCATCAAAAAAAAAAAAAAAAAAGGTTTGAGAAAATGAAATATAGTGGGTATAGTATGGCTATGTTTGTATCTTAACACAGAGTGTTTCCAGCCTATTGCTAACACTCAAAATCATTTTTCCACTTACATATGTAAGTGGAAGTTGTTAATGCCTACTTGCATATGAGAGATATTACCATTAAACTTCAGGGACGCTTAACTATGTCTCCGGGTGTCCGATCGGGGTGAATTATTTTTTGAAATTGGGTGTTTCGATGAGATCTACACCGTCCAAACTCCCAACGAGTGTTTGGCCAGGTAAAAAGTCGAAAAAAGGCCTCTAGAAGGGAAATTGGAATTTCACCCTACATCCATCCCTTAGAAGGGTATTTTGGTAAATTGAACCATGATACCAAAGGTTACATACGTAATTTGCCATAAAATATACTCAATATCCATTCATTAAGTAAATCCATATGTTTTTCTACCATTTTAGTTTTCACACAACACCAAACAACCACAGTTAACTACTACATACTTATAAACCTAACTAATGTAAGGTTTTCTTTATTACATTTTTTTTCCTTATATGTTATCAAAAATCTAAGTTGCCATGATGGTACAACACCTTAGGTTGACCGGAGGTTGCAGGATTGAATCTTGACCCATGATTTTTTTTTTTCCCCTCATTTTTATTACTTCAAGCTTTCCACAATATGTTCTCTCATCACTTTGAGAAAATATGATCATAACACCCAATTTTTTTTTATGGAATCCCAAGAATGGGTATTAATCTTCATTTTGACACTTTTTTTTTCCAAAAAAATATTTTTTGTGGGCCCCAAAAATGGAAAACACGGGAAAAAAGGTGGTAATTGGAAAAACTGAAAAAGTTGCTGACACAGCCCAAGAACATGGGAAAAAGGTTTGGAATGGTAGGGGATGTAATTTTGACACTTTGGTACATACCATATTACCCTTACTGCTCGTTTTTCGAGGTTGTTTTATACCGGGAATGTGCCAATTGACCCCAGGACATGGTGATTGAGGGACAATTTGTGTGTAATTGATGATGGAATATGAGATGAGATGTAATACTTAGATTACAAACATGAATAGTACTAGTATGATGATTTCATAAAAGTATTATTACTATTTATAGTCTATCAATCGACACATTAATCAACACACACGTGAATAGTAGTATGATTATCTATAGTTACATCATCTATACCTTGTGTTATTTTCCAATTCCAAACTATAGTGTGAAGTCACATCAGATCACTATTATCAAGTCCTATAATATTATGACATCACATCATTATGCATATAATTACATAATATGACATCATTATACTTATATGTCATCCTTAGATTCATATGACATTATTATTGTCAAATCACATCACATCACATCACTTCAAATCACATCATTATTGTCGAGTAATATCACATCAATCATTATTATATGACATCATTATTATCAAGTCACATCACTTCAATATACTTTTATGACATTATAATATACTTTTATGACATCATTATTGTCAAGTAATATCACTTCAATATAATTTTGTGACATCATTATATTCCAAAATTTTAAAATAGAAACATAACTCATTCTTGGTACTTTATAGACATCTTTATAGATGTGTTATGGTTTCAAACCACCTTATATGACCCCGGGAGTCACCCCACGTATTCAGCTCAGTTTTCAAAAAAAATGTCAAAAAAATGACCCGAAATCGTGTATTATAGCCTTTAATTTTGGGCAATTTTTCACTTTTTAAGACCCGGAAATAAAAATTTCCGAGATGCTTCCCATGGACCCTAATACACCCCGGGAGTCCATTTGGGTGGGTAAAACCATCCGATATACCTTCAAATTGTCAATTTACCCGTTTACAAGTTGCACTGATTTCATAAACTCGAGGCTACCACGGACATTTATGGCAACATATAATGATCATATATGGTTCCAAACGACCTTATATGACCTTGGGATGTATCCCCTGGTATCGCGAGACTTTTCGACACCGAGTCCCAGAACCTCTGAAATTGGCCAAAAAGCGTGTATTATAGCCTTCAATTTTGCCAAATTTTGACTTTTTTTTACCCGGAAACAAAAATTTCCGAGAAGCTACCTATAGACCCTAACACCATATGGGAGTCCAATTGGGTGGGTGAAACCATCCAATTTGCCTTTAAGCATCCAATTTACCAGTTTCCGTGCACGCCACTTGTATTGGCTATAAGCTTCCACGAGGCCTTTATGTAGCCGACTTATGGTTGTATATGGGTCCAAACGACATCATATGACCTCAGGATGCATCCCGTAAAATTCCGTGAATTTCTGACACCGGGTCCGGACAACTACTAAATTGCTCTGATTTCGTGTATTATAGCCTTCAAATTTGGCTTCCGTACATCATTTTTTCACTCGGCAAGATTATGCTTCCAAGTAATTGCATGGGTTCCCAAAGGGCCTTGGGAGTCATGGATGATGCTCAGAACCATCTTGTTCATCCTTAATCACCATGTCTTAAGGCAACGATGACATACCCTCAAACGACAAAACTAGTTGTTTGTATGCCTTGTCCTTGGGTGCACATGCCACACGCCCCCTTGCATCCGTTTATTTGATTTTTTAATGGGGTCTGAAATGATTTTGATTGTGCCTTCTGTTTTTGACAGAAGTCAGACTAAATTATCAGGGGTGTTTTATTTTTATTTGTTGCTTATGGATTAACTTTGGGTGGAGTCTTCCTTATTACATGACTCAATGTATTTTTTTTCTCTATTGTTTAGATTGCAGCACTCAGTGCTTTATGTAATGTAGTGGTGGAATTCACAACGCGTAAATCCATCTTTCTTCAATATGGAGTTGTCAAACAACTTGTTCATCTGTCAACATCAATGGATTCTACTGTCAGGTTAAATGCTGTACGAGCTCTGAAAAACCTGATTTTCCTGGCCGAAAAACAGTTTAAAGGGGAAATATTTTTGGAGCTGTCACCTGCCACATTGTGGAGTCTCATATGTGGTAATAATTGCTGTTAACTAATTATTGAAGAAAATTTTTGCGTAAGATAATTGTTAAATCTACATATTATGATTCGCTACATTATATTTGCATGCAGATCATGAGTCATCTGTCCAAGAGCAAGCCATCTCTTTTGTTCGCAATCTTGTTGATGGATGTGTTGACTCTATTGAGTATATATTCACTGAAGAAGCTATCATATTACATGCCATTGTAAGACTACTGAGGAACACATCCAATCCCGAAGTCTGCATTCAGGTTAGATATCTTGCTTGCTTAAGGATATCAACAAAATGTGGTTTATGTTCCTTGCTTGTTCTTGATATGTTATTAGGCTGATGGATGAATCGCCTTTTAAAATGCTATCCTTCTTAAGAAAATAGTACTCCCTCCGTCCCACAATATATTGTGCCCGTTTCTCATTATTTATGGGATTTAAAGGAAAATGGAGGGAGTAGCAAGATTCCTTAGACTGCATCAAATGATTTTCTGGTACATATTTCTTTGTATACTACAGTTTATATATATATATATATATATATATATATATATATATATATATATATATATATATATATATATATATATATATATATATATATATATATATATATATATATATATATATATATATATATATATATATATATATATATATATATATATATATATATATATATATATAGTAAGACTGTGAGAGAGATAATGTGGATCCAGTGGAGGGAGAGTGAGAAGAGCATCGGTTATTCAGTCAATTCCATTTGAGTTAAAATGTGTCCCAAAATAGTGGCACATTTTTTAATTTTTTGTATAAAAGTTTGGTATTTTTCAGAGGTTAGGTCAATTGTGAGGGTAAGTTTGTCCAAAAAAGTGTGATGTATTAAGAAAGAATCCAAATAGGTGCACCATTTTGGGACACCCGAAAAGAAAAAGTACTATGTTATGGGTTGGAGGGAGTAGACCCTAGCGTAATTCAGTTGATGACTACATTACTACAGTGTATTATCTCAGAATTATGTATCAGTTGCACTGCTCTTTCTTTAAAGACAGTAATTGCTACAAACTGTGTTGATTGAAGTAAAAGAAAGTGGGCTGTGTACCGATTGGCATGATTGTAGATAATTGCTGCAATCACTGAAAGGGCTTTGTGGTTCTGAATTCCAAGTTTGGAGCTTGGATAAATTGCATAGCATGAATTCACTTTAGCTTGCTTGCTTGCATATTTATGTTCACCCACTTATATACTTTGGTAAGAATGGTGCATCCTTTCATTTTCTGATACATAGATGTTGCTTATGTATGAGTCCTTTCCCTGTGGTTGCTGCTCATGGTAGAACTTGCTGAATATTTACTAACAATTTGTGAAAAGGATCAAATTCCAAGTTCATAGAGTATCGTTGTGGTCTGACAAAGCCTATGTTTATTTTGGCACTGATATACTTTTCCTTAAACTACCTCCTCCAACCGCTTTTTTTGGCTTAGCTATTTATGTCATATTTTGCATTCTCCTGCTAGGGAATGTATGTACTTGCAAATGTGGCAACTGGAAACGAATTCCACAAAGAAGCAGTTCTGCAGCAACTCCTCCCACCAGCTGGTAGCGATGATCCATCCGTTTTGATCAAGCTTCTGCAAAGCAATGACAACAGATTACGCACAGCGACTGTTTGGACTGTTGTAAATCTAACATTTCCTAGCAGCCCTGGTGCTTATAGTCGGCTTGTCAAGCTACGTAATGCTGGTGTATATAGTTCGATAAAAAACATGGCAAATGATTCCTGCCTTGATGTCAAGGTAAATTATATATAACACAATTTAAAGCATCTACGCCAAGTTACATTTTCTATTATTTTTTATGCGAACTTGTAATATTCTTTATGTTTTTCCCCCTTGCTTTGCAGCTTCGTGTCAAAACTGCACTGGATCAATGAGCAATCTGTGGCGTTTTGTGACTACTCTACCTAGCTTTCTTTGGCTACGAAGAGGCCCTGGTGTAAGAGTCCAAGAGTTTGCACATTCATTTGTAAGTTGTATTACAGTCTGTAGCCCTATGTCAAGTATTGGGGAAGACAGACAAAATATCCATCCTCATAGGCCTCGAAATTTTGCTGAATCTCAGCCCAGAGTTGCAATGTATCTGAAAAACAAAAGGGATGGGGCGGTTCATAGTTGAGAAGTAGCAAAGGCATTGCAGTATTCTAGGCTAAAGCTCCTAGAATCAGTACTGCTTTGAATAGGGTCTATTATAGAAAATTGTTGTAGATTAGAGATTGTTGCTTAGATTCTTGAGATTAATCTCAGCTGTATTTTGAGCCATGTGAGACAGATTGTTCTAAGATTACAGGCCATGTAAGTGAGGTTTTTGCCCGTGGTATTATTGTAATAATTGTAATGGTTTTACTTGCATTAAGAGGATTTTTTTTTTTGGTCCGCGAGTTGCTTTATTAATTTGTATCATTCGATTTGAATTAATTCATTCAATAATAAGAAAAATTGTAATTATAATAGATCAAATCTTTTTTGTAAGACGTTCAACTGTATATATTGAAGCTTAACTTGGGGATGTTATCAGGCTGCCTTTCCTTAAAACTGCGGAAGATGTTGAACTGGCACAAAGCTGGTAAAAAGAGGGAGTAGAAGTTTAACAAAAACGAAGTTAAGACTTGAACTTGCTTTAATAGTTTTCATAAAAATAAGATTCACAAATACATGCTCTGATGATGCAAAGTTAATCTGAAATGTTACATATAAAGCATCTAAAAGTGCCCCTAAATTATTCTGGATTCAAGACGATGTCATAAAAAGGAACTGGAGTAAAAAAAAAAAAAAAAAAAAAAAAGAGAAGAAAAAGGTAAAGGAAAGCCATGACTAAATGACTGTAATTTCACCGTCCCTTCGAGAGAGCCTCGTTCAGGTCTTCCTGTGAAGAGGGGAAGAGCTCAATGTAGCGACTTCCAAGGGACTTTCTGTCCTTTTCCATTGCAGCCTCTGAATCTTCAGCACTAGCGAACTCCACAAAAGCCTCGCCAGTTGCCCTCCCATCAGACATAGATGTAATATGGATTGAATCTTCTGACAATACAAATCCGTTGAAAAATTCTATTATGTCCTCCTTTGTGGCTGAAAAAGGCAATCCCCTCAATTTTAAGACTCCAGTATGTTTAATTGGCTCGTTTAGGTCATCTTGAGAATTTGCCCTGCTTGTTAAAGAAACAAGTTAACAACCGAAGATTTTGATCAACCTATGAACTACATTATGTTGAGTAAACCCTCAAACAATAATGAGTTTATAACACAGAAGCTTACAACATAAACAAATATCCAAAATTCTTCATCAGAAATCAAACCAGATGACATGTGAAGTCACTAATTTGGTAATACTCCCTCCATAATTTTTATGCACCTATTTATTGCGGACTCTTATTTCTAATAGAGTTAAGTTGATGTAAGAAAAAGGTGAATTAATTAACAGAGAATAAAAAGTGGGTGGGTATAGAGTGAGCCAGAAAGTGTAAATATTGTAATGGGTACCATCATAAAAAACATACTTCAAAATTATGGGTAGATCTTTTGGAAAGAGAGGATGTACATACATTTCCTTCAAAAAACTTTAAATGGGATTCTTGGAATCTTGGGAACATGTCCATTGTCCAAAAGGATAATAGCCGAAGTGAAAAAAATTAGCAATTTGCAAAAAACATACTTCAAAACAGTTTAGAAGGCTACCATTAAATAGTAATTAAAGATTTCATTAAGACAAATCATATAGGATGATGGGCATAGGGTTGGTTAAAAAGAAACACATAGATCATGCATGCGAACTGAAGTTGAGGGGGAAGAAAAGATAAGATATACACCTTCCTTTAGCAATTGCGTCATCCATCTCTTCCCGAAGTGCAGGAAATAGCTCAACATATCGACTCCCAAGAGTCATTTTGTCTTTAACCATTGCAGCCCTAGAATCCTCAGGACTAGGAAACTCCACAAAAGCTTCCCCAGATGGCCTACCAGCAGAATTGTAAGTGATATGAATAGCATCATCTGCAAGAACATAATCTTTAAAGAAGTTCTTGATATCCTCCCTTCTAGCTGAAAAAGGCAAACCTCTTAATCGCAATATTCCTGTGTGTTCCAACTGTTCCTTTCCTTCATCATATGACTTTGCTCTAGAACCACGACGTGGAGAAACACCACTAGCCTCTGAAACTTCATTTGAAATAGCTTTATAATATTCATGCCTCTTGCCTCGGAAAACCTCTACATATCTCCGACCAATATTCTGTCTATTTCTCTGGAGGGCAAAATCCACCTGCATAGGATAGCCCAGAACACAATATGCTTCCCCAGAAAAGCGACCCCCTTTATGAACAAATAGGATATCAACAAGGTCCAAACCACGAAGAAACTCTTGAACATCTGCTTCAGTACAGTCAAAAGGCAGACCACGGAGTCGGACAACAGGGAATGGGGGAAGTTGGCTAACATATCCAGCATACGGAGTAGGGTTATACATGATACTTGAACCAGGTGAAGCTCCATAGGGGGTTGAGGCCCCATAGCCAGGAGAAGCCCCATAGCCAGGTGATGCACCGTAATATGAAGATCCTTGCTCCATCAACCGTTGTCTCTTTGGACCCATTTCTCGACCATCAGCATAATCTCCGTATCTAATCATTATTTCAAATCCATAAATAAGCAACGTACAAAGAAACAAGACATACATTCAAATTTCGCCATGACTTCAATAAGCCACTTAGTAGCTCTAGTTCAGATCACAGGGATCTAGCTATCAACTCATAACCGGCAAACCTGTCACTATACCAGCCAATGTTACCTATAAAATAACTACACAAGGACATTTCCACCTTCAACGAGGACATATATATCACCTACAACATTCAATCTCTGTCCTCAAGAAGTCACAGTCGCGCTTACATATCTAAATTGAAGCGAGCTACTACTTCACAAAAGAAGTATTTTTAACAGATTCCCCAAAATGTATCCAACAATCGCACAAATTTTTGCAGTGAAATCGTATTTCTTACAAAACCAACTAATTGTTGGTTCTCATTTCATTTTCAATAAATTGCAATTTCATTTTCAAACACCCAACAGTGCTAAAACCCTAGATCACAATTAATCAAATTGCACCAAAATAAAACCAAATGTAACTTCTTTCGCATATTTCAGCTTCAAAAATACCCAAAAAACAATCATAATAACAATAAATCAACCCTAACTTTATCAATTATAAAATTATCAAGTTCCCAAGTTTTTCTTCTTATCATATATCAATTGAATCGATGAAACATCATTCAGATACCCAACTTTAAACATCAAGCAAAATCTTACGAAATACTCAAAGTTATAAGTTACAAAACACTAAGAACATAATCAAATATAAAATAAGCAAAAATCGATGAAAGATTATAAAAAAATTAAAGATTAAACAGTACTAAAAATCAAATATTTCGCAGAAAAATAAAATCAAATAAAAAGACTTACCCTCCTCTGTTGTAAAACATCGTATTAAGAATTCTGGAAATTTGTCGTCTGAAATCCTTGAATTTTCTCTCTCTATTCTCTAACAGTTTCTCTCTCCTGTTTTTTCTTGCTGATTTTTAGGGTGTTTTCCTGGAGCTCGTGTTCTTCAGAGTCTTTATTAATTGAATGGGCTTTAAGTTTCAATGTTATGGGCTTTTACAAAAGTTACGGGCTTTAACTTTACAAAAGTTATGGGCTTTTACAAGGTTCACCCTTGAAGATTTTTTTTATAAAATCAAACGGACAATTTCCCTAAAAATTGCTTAAAGATGAAATTTTTGTGTTTGTGTCGGTTTTTGAACTAATTCCTATCATAGTGTCCACTTAGGATTAGTGGTACCTTTGTTACTTTTTTTTTTTTCGATTTAGTGAAGCATGTTAACAATACAAACATTAATCGATTTGTTTTCTTCAAAAACAATCACTCGTTTTATTTTCTTAAAAAATAACAAATCGAGTAATGTTAATAACAATACAATCAAAGTTTAATCTTGAGTTGTTTTCAAAACAAAAATCAATGAGTATTACTCCGTAGAAAGGATATATTACGCATAATCTTAGCTTGATGTCGTGAATAGAGTGGTTAAGAGCTATCCGTTTAAGCGAGTTGATGTCGTGAATAGAGCGGTTAAGAGATATCCGTTAAGAGCTATCCGTTTAAGCGAGTTTAAATTGCAATTGAGAAAAAAGGTTCTCATCCAGTCATCCTCCTTTAACTTATAAACATGCTACTCCGACTTTAGTCTTCACTAATCACTAGTCACTACCAAACGCAGTGGCATAATACTCCTAACTTCCCAAGTAACGCAAACCAAGTCGTTTGAACCCTTTTCTCTGCTTTTCATCTTCTCCAATTTTCAATAACAAACCCAGAAATTGATTCCTTTCAACAAAAGTAACCCTTGAATCCAACAAGAAATATCACCAAAACCCATATTTTCACAAGAGAGAATTCATATTTTCATTCCCCTCCCCATTAAAATCAAATGCTATTACCTTCAATTTCATCAATGTCATTTTCTCCACTATTTCCACCATCTTCTTCTTCTCCAACTTTTCACAGAAATTACAGCCTCTTTTATCATCATCACCTTCTTCCTCATCATCAATGTCTGAAACCACTTTCTCACAACAACACGAATTTGACCCTAAAAGCAAAATCCCACTCCCTTGGGCCGGCATCTTCCTCTTTGGAGAGCGAAGTTGTGGAAGGAATTGCCGAAATTGTAGCCGAAGCTGGGGTGGAACCACAAATAGTATCGGAAGAAATCGCTTCGAAGGCGCCGCAATATGCGAAGATGTTGAGGGATAGTGTCGCGGAGCTCGACGAGCTGGCGCTGTGGAACTCTTGGATGAAGGTGGAAATGGCGGCGGCACCCCTTACTTTGAAGGAGAAGATTAAGTACATTGCTAAGGAGAAAGGTGATAATGGGAAAATCCCTTATTTGGAGAGTCTTGGGTTGAGTCTTGCTTCTGCTATTCATCTTGCTCGCCTTCTTTCATCTCAGTCTCTTTCTTCTCTTATTCAAAAGGTTTGTTTGTCTTACTTACTTGAATTTGTTTGGAATTTTTTTTCTGGGGTTTTCATGTTTTCTTTTAATACAAGTAATTTTTATTTGCTCTATTATTTTGGATTATAATAGGGTTTTGATTGTTGGATTAGAATGAGGTTTCTTTGTTAGTCTTATTTCTGGATTTGCATTAGAATCAGCTTTTTGATTGTTAGATTAGAATGAGGTTTTATTTGTTAGACTTACTTCTGGGTTTGTATTAGAATCAGGTTTTTAATTGTTGGAGATGGAGGAAGGGGAGCTTTGTTGTTGGAATAAGGCTTTGGTTGATTGATGTCATAAAGAAGCAGAATTTTGATGTTAAGCTATGCATTTGATTTTGGTTTTTGGGTATTCTTAAGATTCATAAATAGCCCTTTTTTGAAGGGTGAATGACAATTGTTAAGCAAGTGAATTGTGATTCTGGTATTGATGTAGGAAGAGGAAGATGTGTTAGAAGCTGCTAGTAATTGTAAGTTTTAATTTTTTTTTTAAGTATGCTCATGTTCTAGGACTTTTGGCTTCATGTATTGGAAAATTGCGAAACGAAAATGTCTTCCATCGTGGGCGTGGTGGTAAAGTTCGCCTTGTTGGCCTAGTATTTTACTAATAAAAGTAATGTTGTTCAGAATAAAACTTGATGAAGGATTGTGGAATTGATGAATTGACATCTGATGTGCTGGTTGTAGTGTAAAGTGGCACTAGTAATTCATTCATTTTTCGACGCTTTATAATTCAACTTGTAATCACCTTCCTTTGATAGAGGAGAGAAAAGTGACTTTCATTGATCTTTTTATTGCAATGATTTCTTCATTTTCTTTCATGGTTATAAAAGGGAAGGAAACAATTCTTGGGGTGTTTTGCCAAGTGTTGAGCACTTCCAATGTCTCCAATAACTGTGGCATCGTAACTTGCTGCTAGCTAACTGGTTTGCTTCGAGTGTATGGTGTCAAAGGCACTTTCTGGATTGCTGCTTATATGGTCTTTGTTATAGGTTTTGTATGTCAAGGAAATATGTTTTTCTGGCAGTGATGACAAAAGACAAATTGGCAAGCGTGCCCGTCGTATGATGCTCTACCTTTCAATTTCAATAGATGAGGATTTGCAACAAACTTTATCATTTTTTGAAAAGGTGAGTTTTCGTCACTAAGTATTGTGTGTATCTGGTAGTTAAATAGAAGCCTTAATCTCTTGTGACTTTGAAGCTGGTTTACATTTTGGTTACTTAATATTTGTTAGAACTTAGAAGTGGTGGATTTATTTCCTGGTTAAAGGGAGCCCTTAGGATTAAATTTGTTGGGTTATTGATTTTAATGAATGCCCACAATGGCCTCAAATTTTTTAAATCAAGAACTGTGTCATTATGTTCAATATTCATGACATGAAAAATCAAAATAGCTTAACTTAGGGTTTGTAGTTCTATTCTGTCTCCTTAATTTGTCTTTCCAACCCATTGGTTTGCTAAAAGCATCACTTCATGACACTAGTCCTTAACTACTACTGAAGTGACAACCACCCTTTCATGTTTTTACCTCCTTTCCCTTCCAATTCCCCTTAATTAATGAATATAAGTTAATAAATGTGCTTTGAAAATAGAAGTTTACATAAACTAATCAACTATAAAAAGTATATTTTGATCAGAAGTATTTTTTAATCATAAGTAAAACCTGATTTTTAAATAGTTGTATTTAGTAAAGATCAAGTTTCGATTTATATAAGAGTATTTCGTACATTATTTAATCTCGTGAATTATGTAGCCTACTAATACTTCATTTGTTTTTTTTAATTGCAACAAACTCAAGTGGGTGAACTCCAAGGCAATATTTTAATGCGGAAGGAAAATGGATAGGGAGAGAAAGTGGGGCCTATAATGAAGAGAGAGATAGGAACAAGATACTTGCAAATTAGGAAAGAAAACATTTGTTGCAATTAATTTGAAATTTCTATTTTTGGTAATTGTTGCAATTAAAAAGAAACGGAGAAGTATGCTTTTCTGTGTTGTGTTTAAGGATGCTTCCCTTGTTGCCCCAACAGATTGAAGCAAGACGTGGTGGTTTGAATATGTTAGGATCCTTCGACACTTCTTTTAGGTATCTCATTGAGTCATTTCCTCGCATTCTTTTGCTATCAGTAGAATCAAATATGAAACCAATGATGAACTTCATGGAGAATGCTGGAGTTCCAAGAGAATGCATGGGAGATGTTTTACTACTATTTCCCCCACTATTTTTTCGCGACATTGAAGCAGAAATTGGAGCTGGATCGTGGACATTTGAGATGGTAAAAATAAATATATAATTTTTTCTATGGTTGATTTTTACCTTCATAGATATTGGTACTTATAAAATATAAAATTTCATGCTTCTTCTTCCAGAATCTTTGTTGACTTGAAATGCACTGGCATTGTGGCATCTTAAATAAAAATCTTAAGTTTATTCTGCCAATAATGAATTTTACTTGTCTGGTGCATTCTAAGATCATTCTGCCAATAATGAAATTTACTTGTCTGGTAAAGTTTACTTAGTCTTGCCCTGCTGTTTAACTTATGTGTGTGCTATCACGCACTTTGCGTTCACAGGGATGATTTTGCATTATGACTTTTGCTATTGCCTACTTTGTCTTACTGAATTAATACCTATTCTGTCTTCAAGGTTGGAGCACTGGACAAAAAATTAGGCAGGATGTTGGTGAAATATCCTTGGGTGTTGTCAAAAAGCATCCAGAAAAATTATAATGATATTTTGGCTTTCTTTGAAACTGAGATGGTAAGGTGTTACAAAACCTGATGTGTTCACATCAGTAGCTATCTTCATTGATATATTTTTTTCATGACCTATGTGATTACATTGTAAATAATATGCAAGATAACTGACTATCCTGTAGTAAAACATTGCTTTGCAGAGTTATAGGGTATAGTTTATTTAGATATTTACTATGTAGAAAAGAAGCCATAGCCTTAGTGTCAGTTCTTAGTTTTTGTTTCTGACAAATAATGCTTGGAAATCCAATATAATCATCCTCTTGGTGCAGCAAGTCCACTTGTTGAGAATGTGTGGCCCTTCGTATTGTAGTTTATGCATATTGTTGAAATTCAAAATTTGTAAACATGTCTTCAGACTTTCGTTGTGGTTTTGCCTGAAAATATCAATTGTGATTGAACATTTTCAATGTTGGATACACTTATTCTTCTTTTTTTTCTTTTCTTTTTCCTGCATTTCAATTATATTATCTGTTACTGCATTAATGGATTGCTGTCTTTTGGTTGTTGATGGTTTAGTGTTGGGCTATTTGAATTAAACTTGTTAAGAATCCAAGGTCATGTGCATCCCAACCCCCTTCCTTTACAGGATTAAGGCCTCTGTAGATTTCCAACAATACTTAACAGTATCAGCAGCAATACTCATGTTTGCTTTTATTTATGGATGAATCTGTTCATGGCAGGTACCAAAAGTGTGCATAGAGCGAGCAATAAGGGATTGGCCACTTCTGCTGGGCTGTTCAGCAAGCAAGCTGAAGCCAATGATAGAAGAGTTTGATGACCAGGGTGTGAGAACTACAAAACTGGGTAAGGCTATAGCTACAAGTCCTCAGCTTCTACTGCGGCGACCTGAGGAGTTTCGGAAGGTAACTTGGTGCCTGTTCTTTTTTTTTTTTTTTTTTTTTTTTTTTTTTTACTATGGGCTGTTCTGCACTTCTGCTTAAACATTTGTTGCTGCTGATGTGATATTTCTGAAGACCTCTCTTGTATTTGAATCAGCTTTGATTAGAGCTGCTAAGATTTTGTTCCTTGTCTTCTATTGTTTTTATTAAAACTGCCCTCTTCTTCTTCATGCCATATGAGTCATGTACCGCCTGTTCTTTTCTCAGTTCATTGCTTTCGGGAGGCTGTTTCATCTGTTCATTATTGTCTAAGTGGAAAGTTTCCGGTTATATAGGTGGTTATTTTTCTGCAAGATGTGGGTTTTGACAAGGAGAGCATCGGTACAATCCTAGCTCGGTGCCCTGAAATTTTTGCAACAAGAACTGTGGAAAATTATCAGAAAAAGCTTGAATTCTTGACCAGCTTGGGCATATCAGAAAAAGATCTCCCTCGGGTGATAAAGAAATACCCTGAGTTTTTGATATCTGATGTGGATAGTACCGTCAAGCCAAGGTGAAGCTCTCAACTGGCTTTGCATATTTTTTTACCAAAGTTCTGTTTAAACATATTGCCACAGAATAATGGGCGCACAAAGCATGCTGTCACATACCATACCAATTGAATCATTACTGCAGAAAGTTAGTTTGGAAAGTTTTCCACTCATACTAGCATAACTGATTTTATTTATTCTCTGCGTAAACAGATTGAGGTACTTGATGAACGCTGGGTTAACTGAGAGACATATTGCTACAATGATTGTACGCTTCTCTCCTCTTCTTGGGTACAGCATTGAGGAAGTGTTGAGGCCAAAGTTGCAGTTCCTGGTCTACACCATGGGCAAGTCAGTGAAGGAAGTTGTGGATTATCCCAGGTATTTCAGCTACTCAATGGAAAAGAAAATAAAGCCAAGGTTTCTATTGCTAAGAAGCAGAAATATAAACATTAGCCTGAAAGTTATGTTAGCCAAGAATGATGATGAATTCACCACAGAATTCTTGGCCATTGAAAGAACTTTTGTGTCTGATAAGTAGAACGGTCTAATTTCATGGTCTGATCTGTACATATCTTATGCCAGTTTTTTTTTTTTTTTTTTCATATCATAGGAAAATTAGACCTACAGTAGTATAGTCTGAATACCATCATGTTCTTGTGAATATGTAGTGAATCAAAAATTTTGTATCATCATGTATCGTATCTGCAAAAGTTGTGTTATCATACTTCAAAATTGTATGAAATTGGTTGTTATATAAGCCTACTTGTTCAAATATTAGTCTATTAGAGCAATATGGACTAATGAAGTCTAAAAGCTTAATCATGAGTTGTTTTTCGAAACAAAAATCGATGAGTAGTACTCCATACTAGTACGAAGTATAAACTCTCCATCAATATCCATGTTATTAGAATATAGAACAAGTAATCCTCGGTTTATAAACACACTACTTTAGTCTTCAATGCCAAATACAATGACATATGAAGCATAAGTAATGTAAATCAAACACATACAAATAACAACGAGACAGAACAACCATACACAATAAACAAATCGCTTGAACCCATCGCTACTAAACATACCAACAAATAAATCATGAGCACTGCGAATTAAGCATCCATGCTTGAACCCATCGCGACCAAACATAGCAACATATAAATCACGACTATTGTAAACAAAGCATCCAAAGGCTCCAACAAGGTATAAAAGCCATACATAAAACATAAATTGCTTGAACCCTTTTCCCTCATTTTCGTCATCTCCAGTTTGCACCCATGCTAAATTTTCACTAGCACCAACAAACATCTCAATCAACAAACCAAGAATTTGATTTCTTTCAATAATATGGTGAACTAAACTTGAATCCAAGAACAAATCACCAATAACTTCATCCACCATATTTTCACAATTCCCAATCTCATAAACTACTAATTCTTTAGCTTTGGCATATGCTTCATCAACTTATTTTTTAGTATGAAAATTCTTAATAGGAGTATTAATCACCTGCTTTCTTGCCTCCTCAACTCCCATCTTCATCTCAAAGTAGTTCCTCTCAAAAAACGTTATGAATTCCCTAAAGCTCTCTTTGTCATCGCGTATACTTGTGTGATTAATCATTTGCATCATTTTCTTCTTTTCACTTTGTATGTACTTCAAATTTTCATACAAAATTTGTAACATTTGATCAATGGCTAGTTGGCTACCAATGTTAGACTTTCGGTTTCATCTATGCCTTTGCCTTCGTGTTGTATGTTGTGCATAAAAATCGAATGGCAATTGTCCCTGTCTCGGGTTTTGTTACATATATTCTGGATAAAATAGTTTGTACCTAAGAGAAATAATTCATCTTCAAAACTGCAGAATAATGGAGGAAGATAAGAGAGTAGAATACAAAGAATTAACATGAATTTTATTGAATAGGCTACCATTTTTCCTAGTGTCTCTAACACTACTAAAACTTGTTATTGATTGAATTATACTTAGGTGGGAGATATGTTATACAAGTAGGATAATAGGTCAAAGAATGATCATTATGAATAAGTTTTATGGTAAAACAATAATAATTAAGTAACCCTTTTGGGAAAAATAAGATATTCATTGTTACTATGTACAATGACTCACAAAGAATCATATGTAAAAGGTAGGGGTAAATGATATTGATCTTGAATTTTCATGTACATATATAACATAAAATCTTGTGGAATTGGTCTATAATTATAACTAGGTTAAACCCCGTGCATTTGCACGGTTGTTGAATAATTATGATAATAATATAATTATATAAAAATTAAAGAATCGATTCATAAGGTATTAAAGTGCATGAAATATATTAAAACAATTAAAACATGTGAGAGAAAATATTCATAGTTATAAATTATAATGTGCAAGTTGATGTTTTAGGAAGTTTATTTTAGATTTTATATATAAAAAAAAAGTCATAATCTAAACGCGATCTTTATTTTTATATAATAACCATTTTTTTTATAAAGTAATTTTTGCGGAAATTTTTTTAATAATATGTTGTCAAGTGTTCCTTCAGATTCACTTTTAGTAGTATGTAATTGATTAAATATTATGCAATCATTTTGGGAAAAATTAAGTATTCATTATGCGATGACTTATATAGAATCATAGGAAATATGGAAATATGGAATCGGTCTACAATAACACCGGTAATAAATTTTTGCCAATTATTTGTGGGAAGTAGCGTCTTGGCCTCTTCTTTTAGACTCAAAAGTAGGAATATTGACACAATAATACTCATTGTCCATGACGTCCTATATCAGGAAATGATAAAACTCATATTAGGGGTCAAGATACAATGCACATTTTCTCCATGGTAAAAAATCATAAGTCCGGGTCACTATATATATTACAAGCTTTTGTTTATAATATAAGTGTAAACAAAGTATTTTTGAAAACTTTGTTAATTACTACCTTAAAAAGAAGAGGTCTTTGTGAATGAATACCCCTAAAAAAAAGTTGTTAATTACTACCCCTAGTAACTATTACCTTTTTTCTTTTAATCAGCCTACCTTAATGGCATTATTATTCGGGTTCGGTGCAAGTTAATTAAATTGGTCGTTGTAAATCGGTAAATCGGTACAATTTGTAAACCGGTAAATTTTGGCCGTTTAAAGGCAAATTAGATGGTTCCACCCACCCAATTGGACTCCCGGAGGGTATTAAGGACAATGATAAACATTTCGGCAATTTTTATTTATGGGCGAAATAAAGTCAAAAAATTCCAAAATTGAAGGCTGGTATCCACGTTTTTTGAGAAAATTTGGAGGTTTCGAGGCCCGGTGTCGAAAAGGCTTGAGATATTAGGAGATAAATCTCAGGGTCATATAATGTCGTTTGGAACCATATATGATCATTATATGTTGTCATAGATGTTCGTAGTAGGCCGCTTGAATTAATGAAATCGGTGTAAGTTAGTTGTAAACCGGTAAATTGGTCGTTTAAAGGAAAATTGGATGGTTTCACCCACCCAATTAGACTCCCGGAAGATACTAGGGACCATGGTAAACATTTCTACAATTTTTTTTTCCGGGCGAAAAAAAGTCAAAAAATTCCAAAATTGAATGCTAATATCCACGCTTTTTGAAAAACTTTGTAGGTTTCAAGGCCCGGTGTTGAAAAGAGTTGAGATTTTAGGGGATACATCTCGGAGTCATATAATGCCGCTTGAAAACATAAATGACCATTATATGTTGTCATAAATGTTTGTGGTAGGTTTTAGTTAATGAAAACGGTGCAAGTTGTAAACCGGTAAATTGGTTGTTTCAAGGCAAATTGGATGGTTCCACCCACCCAATTGGACTCCCGTGGGGTATTAAGGACCATGGTAAACATTTCGGCAATTTTTATTTCCGTGCGAAAAAAGTCAAAAAAATCAAAAATTGAAGGCTTATCTATGCTTTTAAACAAATTTCGAAAGTTTCGGGGCCCGATATCGAAAAGAAATGAGATTTTAGGGGATACTTATCAGGGTCATATAATGTCGTTTGGAAGCATTGATGATCATTATATGTTGTCATAAATGTTCGTGGTAGACTTGAGTTAATGAAATCAGTGCAAGTTGTAAACCGCATAATTCACCATTTAAGGGAAAATTCAATGGTTCCACCCACCTAATTAGACTCCAAGAGGGTATTAGGGACCATGGTAACCACTTCGGCAATTTTTATTTACATGCGAAAAAAAGTCAAAAAAAATCCAAAATTTAAGGCTAATATCCACGTTTTTTGAGAAATTTTGGAGATTTCGAGGCCCGGTGTCGAAAATCTTTGAGATTCAAGGGAATACATCTCGGGGTCATTTAATATCGTTTTGAACCATATATGATTATTATATGTTGTCATAAATGTTTGTGGTAGGCTTGAGTTAATGAAATCAGTGCAAGTTGTAAACCGGCCGGTAAATTGTTTGTTTGAAGGCAAATTGGATGGTTCCACCCGGCCAATTGAACTCTCGGAGGGTATACTTCGGCAATTTTTACTTACGGGCGAAAAAAGTAAATAAAATTCCAAAATTGAAGGCTAATTTCCACGCTTTTTGAGAAATTTTGGAGGTTTCGAGGCCCGGTGTCGAAAAGACTTGAAATTCTAGGGGATATATCTTGGGGTCATATAATGTTGTTTGGAACCATGTATGATCGTTATTTGTTGTCAATTTGTCATAAATGTTCGTGGTAGGCTTGAATTAATGACATCAGTGCAAGTTGTAAACCAGTAAATTGGTCGTTTAAAGATAATTTACACCATAAGTACCAAATTTGTAAGCTTAAGTCAATTTAACCAATTAAGTAACAATGAAGGAACCTACTCCTATAAATCTGTAATGTAAAAGCACAAAGTTTGAACCATTTGAACAAATATTGTCGTTCAAGTAAATTAAGAACAGTTTTAACACGTAAAATGCAAGTACCTTCAAACTCAAAAACTCAATACATACACGTTGCTTTACCCTAAAACAACCCCCACAACGTTGGAATCCTCTTAACCGTCCAGGTGAACACAAATAAGTGTGGCAAAACTGGTTAACTAACATCAACCTTTTTTTCTTTGGTCTTCCAAAATAAGTAAAAACCCTACATCTTTGGAAAGATTTGGACCTCATAATATTCTCTGGTCATCACTTTTGTTTGAATTTTCACAAAAAAAATCACATCTTTGCTTCCTGTACATTCAATTCTCTTCCAAATCTTATTCTCCAAGCACGTTTCTTCGTTTACAAACCCCCCTTAAGTCCCAATTCATGCATCCTTTGGATTAAAATTCTGAAAATTCTAGCTTTTTGAATGCCCACCAACTGTTTGTTAAAATTCCCCTAAGAATCTCATTTGTTCATTTCATTGGAATTTTGAGAATTTGATTATCTGGGTGTTGTTATTTTCGTGTGTTTTTAGGTGGGTTGAGTTTTGTTTGTGAGAATAATGGTGGGATCTTTCTCTTTACTGACTTCCCCTGTTATTGATTCTTCGCATACTTGCCCTTGTATTTGTTTGGAAACCATGAATTCATCTAGTATGAATCTCAAGAGTGGTGGAGATGTCGGGTTAGGCAGGAAATCGATGGGTAATAAGCAATCAAAGAATAGGCAGATTGGGTCATTGGAGCTCAGTAGCTCTTTTGTTGATTCAGGGAAAGAATTTTTGGGTATTGTGAATAAGAGGAGCTCAACAAAACAAAGGAAAGTTAGAAGCCCTGTGATTGTCAGTGA